GCTGTATTTCAAAGGATTTGCTCTTCCTCGTTGACAAGAACAGGAGGAAACAATTTTTATTACTTCCAGAAGCCAGGGGTGAATTCRGAGATGAAAATCTTCGCCGTGCCTCCGGTCTGTGCAGGAGGGGTGTCATTAAGGGATCAGATTGATGTCAGRACGTGTCCCTGGGCAGGCAGCAGCACGTTCTTTGTGGGGCAGTGGTGGGGAGAGAGATCACTCACTGTTTCAGAGCTCTCAGAAATCCTCCTGGAGCAGGGAGCCCCAGCCCCACGCCTGTCTCCAACCATGATGATAATTTCAAGTGCCATCTTCGGTATCAGAGTTTTGTGTCCTCAGTAAACGACGAACAATTGAAATGTCAAGAATGGCTTATCACTGGGAAAGGATTTTTTTTTTTTCCCCCCTGTCTCCTGGAGTTTTACCAGATTGTGTGAATCAATCGTGAGAATTTGGAGGTAATTTGTTCCAAAGAGACAGGGATCAGTGCATTCCCTTGGCTGCCTTTATGTGCTGGAAAGGGTGGGGGAAAGAAAATGAGCATGTAGCTTAAAAGGAAATCAAAACTGGTCTGTGAATGTGTGTCTGGACCGACTTATTCATGACTGTGATACACATGTAAAATATGCTGGTGGTGCTACAGTCGAAAATGCAGCTTGCCAATGCTGTCAAATTTCTATTTATTTCCTCTTAATTCCACTGGGTGTGACATTAATACATCCAAATGTCCAAATACATCTATCATTTGGTCCGAGTTTTCCTTAGCCCCACTACAGCTCTAAAAGGTTATTTAAGTTTTTGCATATGGGAATGACCAGCTGTGAAGATTTTAAGAATTGGAAAGGGTACATTTATATTTTGACCTGACTTGACTTCTTCTCTTTAAAGCAAGTCTTCTGCGTTTTAAAACTTTTTTTTTTGTTCTTCCCAGAATAAATGAAGCCATTTATAATTTTACCATTTCAAAACCACATTGTCTTCCTTTGGGGATAAAAACAGTGTTTTAATCGCTGCATTTGTCAAAGGTAAATGCTGTTATGGAGTGTAAGTGATGTGATAGACTTCTCTATTTATGTAAACAGGTGATGCAGAAGGTGCCAGGGAGCCCAGTGCAGCATGTTTGGATTAGATGTACTTATATTATTTTGAAAAAAGAGATGATAAAGTTTAATTGGGCCTGCACAACCTGGAGAGCTGGTTTACAGCTGGGGATGGGCACTGCTTCCCACTCACTTAGAGCTGGCTGAAAGAAAAAAAAACCCTCTTTTCCTGTGGCACAGCTTCCACAGAGCCCTTTCAGACAACGGAAATGATGTGATGAGATGCTGTCGTAACAAGTTCTGAATGTGACAGAYCAGCAAGCAACCTCCTCGCTGCTTAATTAAGTAATTATCTCCTCTGCTGACGTCCCAGGAGCTGGCAGGAGCAGTTTGTGTCCCTGGAAATGTTGATACCCTGGTCCTTGAGGAAATGTTGGCTTCTCCCTCCCACAGCAGTGTGAGTTAAGATGAGTTAATAATACACTCTTCTCAAGGTCTTTTTTCCTTCAGATTAGGGAAATGTTGGATAATCTTCTGCAGCTACTGGTGAGGCAGGAAGGCATAAAGCTTCTGCAGTGCTAAAGGCTGTTTAATTTCTGAAGTCTCTGAAGTTTGAGTTTGGGCTCCACCTGTCACACAGCCAAAGGAGACAGCTCATGTGTGAGTACCTGTGCTCTGTGACACAGGGGACAGCTTGTGGAATTTGGGCAAAATCTCTGCAGACAGATTATATCCTGCCAGATCCCGACTGACTGGAAATCCCAGATGTGCCTTTGGGTTTGAAATGGGAGTAAAAAAAATTCAGCACTGAGTAGAGGTGAGCTGTGTGACACCGCTCATGTTTGACCTGAGGGTTTTTTTTTTTGTCAGATCCTACAGAAAGACTGCTCCTCCACACTTTTTGCCTTATGGCCTCGGGGTATCACAAAAAGAGGTGCTATTTCTAAAATACAACTGCAGGCAAGTAAACAATTCAGGCCTTGCACTCAAAACCTGTTTTTCAGCATGGAGATGCATTTTCCCTACCCAGTAGGATTACACTGCTGTACAGGAGCTAAGCAAAAATAGCATTTCTAGGCAGCCAAGTGCCATCAAACACACRTGGAACCTGTGTGGACCTGAGAACACTCCCCAGCTGTGTCTGGAATGAGGAATAATGCTCAAGTAAAACAAGAGAAAAGGGAGAAAAAAAGAATCCAGGCTGGAAAACCTTCCTTAGCTGGGAATGTTTGGACTAGAAAATGTACAGTTGCTGCCTGAGTATGAGAAGCAGGTTTAGATCACACTTTCCTGGCTTCTGGTGGGTTTTACYAAGCTGAGCATTTTAAATCATTAGGATGATGTTGGGTTTTTTTTTTTTTTTCCACTTGAAAACAGTTTTGGCATGGAATGGAGAAGGAAAAAGGAATCACTCAATTTTGGTGAGCCTTCCTGGGCATGAGAGTGGGCTCTGCCTCTGATGCCAGAGGGGCAAGACTGGAGACAAATAAAATCCTCAGAGCACTAACAGAGGATTTTTTCCCTTCAGCACAGTGCAGCTTCACCTCTTGGTGACAGTGTATTTCCACTGCTCACTGCTGTGGTTACGGAGGTAGAAAGGGCTTTCACAGAACAGGGACATTGTTCCAAGAACAGGAAATCTTCTTGTCATCCTTGGACTCCGCTTTGTCTTTCCTCCTCCACCAGCCACGTCTGCCCAGCTGCTTATCAGTCCCTCCAGAACATCAGACCTTCACAGTGATCCCATCTCTTACTCATGCTTTACTCATTTCCCAACATGGCAATTACTGCTGTTCGATTCAGCCTTCCTAAATCCCGCTTTGAATTTGAGGTCATTTAAAGTGCAGATGTGAATGGAAGCTAATATAATATTAATCCATAGCAAGTACATGCAATAAAATACCCTATGTGTTCAAGGACCAACACATCATTTTTCAGATGTTTGGGCACCCCATGCAACCATGGTGTTGTTCAGGGAAAAAAAAAGGATGAAATCCCAATGTGGAAACGCCTTTCCACAGTAGCAGGCAAAGCTACAGCTTCAGTCACATTTAATCACTGCTCCTTTTTCACAGAGAAAGGTGTACAGACCTGTGGTGGGTCTGTACAAATTGCAGAGTTTCTCCTTTGCATGAGAAAAAGAAAGCTGAAAGACCAAAATGGTTTTAAGATTCTAAAACCTGGGAAAACAGTATTTTCTCTGTATCTTCCTAAAAGAGATGAGGCATCAATCTCTTCAAAGAAAACTGAAGAACTGATCCTGAGGCAAACACCTGCCTGAAGCAGCAACTTCAAAACACCTGCAGTTTGTCAGTTTAAAGATCTTGTTTCCAGATAGTTTTGTGGAGCAGCTATGCAGCTAGCACATAATGAATAGCCTGAAAATGTCACTTAGGGGGGAAAATTTTTAWAAATTCCAACTGGGAAGTATCCATCAATGACCTGCATTCAGGCCAAAAGGATGAACTGCCATGTAACTAAAAATGTTAAAGTTTTAACAACAAATGGCAAACAGAAAGAGAGGCCTGTCTGAGCTTCTCAGATGATAAAACCTTAACAGGGAAGGTTTTGCAACACAATCCCTTCATGTCAATAGTTTCCAGGGACTCAGAACAAAAAAAAATTCATTGGGTTCTTTCACTGGTATTCCTACTTGCAGCTAAAYGTAGAGTGCTTATTAAGAATTCATCTGGTAATTAGAACAGCTTTGGATGRCTTGGAAATGTGTGAGTCTCATGAAAGTGCCATTATTTATTAARAGAAGTAATAACTAGAATATAACTGCTCAACATAAAAAGTCACCGGATTATTCTCTGCAYGTTTTGAACATGTACACACCTGACAGTCAAAACCCTAGATTACTCAGGAATTTCCCTTCCCCCCTGTTTAGGAAAGATACCTTTGAAATCCAAACCTGAGCTGCTTTGATGCCCAATTTAGAGCAAGCATCCACATTTAAAGTTACAGGAGCAGATTTTGCTTTCCTCAGGTTTCCTGCCCAGCCCAAAGCTTCTGTGTGTGCACAGAATGGTCACAGTCCCACAGCTCTGCACTCCTCTGGTTCACAGCCAGGGGTGTTTACTTGGCCAAAACTAGAAAAAATCCATTTTTCTTAAGCCCAGATTAGAAAAGTTTTGGATGGGTACTTTTGATTTTGATTTAGATTCGCAGGTACGTGTGAGAAAACAGAGAAATCACAACTAATAACTGCTTTTTCCCCTAATTGCAGGGTAATTGGGACTGATGAAAACARGGTTGTCAGACAAGAATGACAACAGTTAACATACCTTTCAGTGTGTTTTACTGCMAGCTTTGTTCATTCTGATCACAAGCTTTTCCAGAACAAGGAATATTGCTAACAGTATGAAATCTCACAGTTGTCTGATTTAACACACACATCAGGCATTAAAGAACTCACTAAATTACTGGAAGTGTGCAAAATTAAGAAATAAATGCTAATGGTGGRTACCATTAAAAGTAATCTAATCTTTACTACTAGTGAGTGTATTTTAGTTGCTTCAACCTTTATATAATGACATGCAACATCCTTATCTGCAGCTAACTGTTCATTTTGCTAATTAAGAAACCTTTCCATACATGGAACAGCAGCAGCAGAGCCTTGTGAATCCTTTTCTCAGCATTTTGGAAGATACTGGGAAATGACATAACCTGAGAGACCTAAACCTCTAAAAAKGAATACATGTGGTATTTTACAGAGAGCAGTCCAGGTGTCTCAAATCCCCCATCTGTGCCTTCTCAGCAGCTAGTCAGACAKCACTGCAACTATGGTCCCTGCCTTTATTTCACATCTTAACAACAGAAATATTGACAGATTATTTGAGAAATTACAAGTTTAGAAACAAACAACGGAGTGTAACTTAGGTCAGAGGTCATATTTTCAGAATGAGAGTGGAGCCATCACTCACAAAACGAGAGGAACTGTTCAGGCAGCAARAATACTTTGATAAACATCCCCTAAAGTCACAACGCTCTTTATTCTTCCATGGGTGGTCTTATTGCTGTGGCTTGATTTACCATTTTAAAGTTTCATTAAACAGGTCTACTGGACAAGAAATTTTAAAGAATTAAAAACAGCAAGCCTTTTCAACTAGGGTGTAAACAAAAGAGCTCAGACACGCAGCAGACACCCTTCCAYGAGTTAGAGCAGGAGGGTCAGTGCTGACCTGGCATTAACAAGCATGTGCCACCTGGGCTATGGTCACTAATGCTGGTCCAGGGGTGCCCACAGAAGACAGGTGATCCATGGTGTGAGAGGAGGCTTGGTTGATGCTTTCCCATCCTTCCCTGACACAAGTTGTTCCATGCTCTGCTGTTGGGTACTCGGGGATGCTCTCCAGCTGCTACTGCATGAACAGGATGCTGAAWGCCATCACCACACAGCACACGGCCACGTAGGGGCTCTTCCGCTCACCTGGCATGAAGGGGAGAGAACACAAAACAAACAGAAAGTCACACACATCCAGGAGACCTAAACAGACCCACCTGCTCCTGGTCTAAAGCTATAATTGTGCCACAGCATGTGCAAATCAATATTCAACATTTCTAGCTGAAGAAATGCTGACAGAAGTGTTGTTGTTGGTTAGATAGTAGATATAAAAGAATAAATATTAATAAATATATATTAATAAATATATATAAATACATATATATACACATATAAAAAGTAACTTTTTTATTTTGAGATAGCTTTTTCTATTTATTTTAGTAACCAGTGTATATACTTGTGTTAAATATATATTGATTAAGAGATAGTTGTTTAATTATTAATTAGTATATGACTGGTGAGTTTGCGAAAGTTATAGTATTATTAATGTTTAAATTGTAAGCTACCTGCATTATCAATTTTATATTCTAATCTCTTTTTCTCAAAGGTAGCCAAGTATGTGATGTTTTTCTCCCATGCAGGCTGTTAACASTCCCCTACACAGAAGTACAGCTGTGTATGCACAAAGATCATGCACAGGTGTAGGACAGGTTATTTTGGTGCATAAAAACAGAGTTCTTTGCTTTAAGAAAGAGACTTTAACCAAGGCCATGGAGTGACAGGAAAAGGAAGAGTGGCCTAAAAATGGTGTAGGGCAGGGATGGATGGGATTTTGGGAAGGAATTGTTCCCTGTGAGGATGGGGATGCCCTGGCACAGGGTGCCCAGAGAAGCTGTGGCTGCCCCTCRGTGACTCTGGCCCATGTAAGGACCTCCACTCACTATAAACCACCTTTCCTGAGGTGCAGATTTGTGCTGCTGCTACCTCCCAGTGCCAGACTCGGGACAGGCAGTGGAAAGCTGCCCAGGACACCCCAATTTTGCTGGCTCTGCTCCTCCAYGGCTGCTCAGGAGCTGTTCTGTGCCAGCTGAGATGCTCTCTGGCTGTGATACCTGTCACCTGCAGCATGAATCTCCTCTSCATGGTGTCACACAGCAGCCAGAGCTGTGAGCTCACAGCTCCCAGACTGGGCCAGATGCCTGCCTTTCTTTTTTTTTTTTTTGTACTTTCCTAAGGAGACATAACATTGTCAGCATGTGGGGAAGGTCTGGTGCACAGATTTCCGTGATAAAAATGGTCAGCACATCACATCACAGAAGCTGCACAGACACCTCTGTTTTTTGACTCTTTCAAAATGGTGTCACAGTTTCCCAGGGCAGACTGGATAAAAAGTTAAGTTTGCTCCATTTAACAGACTTTTATATGGTGGCAAAAGCAATCATGGGATCTATTCCCACCCATTTGGTCCAGGACAACATTTTACAGAGGTCTCTTGTTCACCAAGAAAACCATGAGGTAAAAAAAAGGGATTTTTAAGTGGAGAACTTGTTTTCTACAACCTGGGGAACATCAGTAATGCTAATAAGATTGGTACCTACTTACACAASCACTTTCTCTATTAGAGACAGATGTTTTTACAATTAAACTTTAATCTTCATGGTTCCACTGAATTCTCACTGGTGAGACCAATAGTGGATGGTACCTACAGCACTGCCAGGGTGTATTAACACTGAAATGTGCCCCTAAAGTGAGAAGTTTCCTGTTTTTACATATACAGGAGCCTAAAGATAGAGCTGGGCCTGTTTGCTTTGAGCAAAGTTCAATTTCCATTTGTCTTCTGAGTTCTTTTGTCTTTACAAACCACCTTATCTGAAACACAGTTTTCAGAAAAACATTAAAGAAAAAAACCCCATCACAACTCCCATGTCTAGCATGGTGCAATGTTCATGAAAAAAAAAGTCTTTTTTTATTTTTTTTTTTTTTTTACCAGCAGGACCTTTAAACACAAAGGGAACAAACTTTCCACTGTAAAAGAAAAATAAAATACTTGCACCTCCCATACACAGGATTGACTGCCCAGTGACATTACAAGATGCTGTCATGATCTGGCATATATTTAATTAAACTTCAAATAACTGAACGAATTAATGTCTGCAGTTTCACATCTGTTTAAAATAAATTTTGAGGAAGTCCAACTCCTACGGTTCAGGGTATTACAATTTTCATATGGGTTATGCTTTTCTGCTCTTAATTTTCTTAAAAGAGAAATCACCATGTGGCAGGATTAAACATTATTTTGCACAACTTTGTAAATATGTAACCACTTGCCCATGATTAAGATCTTATGTACATGTGAAAAGGTTGTTTAAACATACCAGGGATGTGAAATGTAAAGGAAGCCAGTAGACATTTTCATTTTTAAATCCTACACTTTCTACATGCCTTTGTGATTAACACACATAAAATGATAGGAATCATCTCCAAAGCCCATTTTCACCTCTTAGTTTAAAAAAAAAGTCAAAGTGGTCTACTCTAGATGCAAGTTGCAAAAGAAACAGCTAATAGAAAAAAAAAAAAAACCTTTGCATAATAATAAAATATCTTAATTAACTACAAAGAAGATGGCAAGGGCAAGGTAAGGGTGAGGTGTTCTCTTCAACTTGCAGCTGAATTTTTACCCTTGTTTTTACTAGTACAGCTCAAAATTCATTTCTGACAGCTGCCACCTTCCCAGTATCTTTSAATTACAGCACTCAAATTGGTTCTGCTATATCTATTGTCTAAATAGGACAATATCTGCAATCATTTTAACAACGGGTCTTCACAAAAACCCTATTTTTTGTGTCAATGCTTTTTTGACATTTTTTGAACATTTTACATCCTTTTAAAATGTTCTGCTGCAGAATGCAGAAAGGGAATCACACAGGCTTTCTTTAGGTTCAATGACAAGCAGGAAGATCTAGAATTACAAGTTCAAAGTTTCTTGTTCATTTCATTAACAATGCATTTGAAACACGGATGACAAGTTTGTAATTTTTTTTTTTTTTTGAATCTTGGATATACCTTAATGGTAAGACTAAAATTCTGTTGCATATTCCAATTTCCTTCTCAAAATAAATTCAGGRTAAGGATTAAAATAAATATAAAACCAATGTTATGGGAAAATGTCAAGAATCAGATAGAGATGATCAGCCTGTGTGCAGATGTCACTTGACACGAACAGCTTTGTGCAATTCRAAAGTGCACAGAAGCTGAGTAAAGAATGGACAGGAAAAAAACCCTCATTTGTGCTTAAACAGAACCTTAGTGCATCATGAATTTATTACTACAAGGTAAATACCTGGCTTTTTTTTCAGCAGTCCATTACAATTGCAAACAGACTGCATTTGAGAAAGACTCATTGATTTATTTGGATGTTAGAAATATACCCATGGTTATCTTATTTTGCAAGAACAGAAAAATACTTTTGAAAATGAAATATCACATAGATGAATTGACATGAGAAGATGCAGGCTTTTGATGATGCTAATCTAAGAAAGGAATATCCTGCCCCCTTAATTCATGGAGGTTAAAACCTGCACTTTTGAACATAAAGGATGTGTATGGTTTTCATTGCTGCATGGCAACATTATCCTAATAAATTATGCTGGAAATAGGACTGATCTTAAAAGATTTTTAAAGWAAAATAAAAAGGATTACCAATCCTGGCGCATTTCCAGAATATCCCCAACAGTCTGTAAAGATAAAATAAATTCATTAGGCTCTTGGTTTAATAATTCAAGTCAACTGATTTTCTTTCTTCTATGTTAAAACCATCTGAATTGACAATCATTTGTCRACTTGACTCTCTTCTGGACACCAGAAAASAGCAGATACCTGCTCAMAAGGGTACAGGYTAYAAAYTACACTAAGTGGYAAAGTTCTAAGTSTAGCAAGAGTTYTRTTGCATGCAAAGATGCATTTACCTCATTTTGTGCTCCAGATCTAAAATTTCATCAGAACCCTGTATTTATCTACAATAAAGTACCCCAGAAAGAAAACTATGCAAAGAAAAAAACTTCAGAGATTTTCTGGTTCTTTCCTATTTCTTTACCAAGGTTTACCTTGCTCATGTCTCTCCTGTGCTGCCTGCACAGGATTTTTTCTACACACAAGTGAAAAGGCAAAGGAGAAAAGCAAGATTCAACTCAGGGAACGCCCAAAGGGATGTCACAAACCTACAATTTCTCTGTGTAACTAAAATAACCTCACAGTGACTGCTCTAGAGGAGCAACAGCAGGGACTGTTTTAGGATCTGAGGAAGAAAAGGGGAAACAATACTGAAGCATCCCGTACAAGATGGCAGATTTCAAATGTTGGTCAAAACTGTTCAAAGCTCATCTAGAGGAAGGCTTCCTCCACAGTAGGGCACAGAACACTGAGGGGAAGCACTTKCAGAACTGCCATCAAGCAGACAGTAGATATAAACCCATAAATAGTGTTGTGAACTCACACCCACCAAGGTCTGATCATCTGTGTTTCCCCTTTCTGGGGCTCTGACAGTTTCTTACTTCTAACACGTTTAAATGCAGACAGGTAGGTTGCTCCTGCATACTTGAGCAGTCAACATATCCTGCACTTTTATTTCTGTGCTACTTCCCATTTTATGTCCTCTTCTATGATCTTGCTCTATCTCACTATCTCTCTGTCAATTTAGCAGCCCCCTTTTTATTTCTAAGACAAAGACTCAGTGTTGGGCAGGTGAGGACCAAATGAGGCAGCAAGTGACAGAGATGCTCAAAGCCAAAGTGAAATGCTTTTTACTAATACACCCCTTGCTGACCAATTTATTAWAAACAGCATTCAAACATTTCCATTTTTGGAAAACAGGCATTTTCATCTGTGCTTTAGATTTTAGTTTTACCTCAAGCAAAATACATATATATATATATGCACATACATACATATTTCAGTTTGACTATATTTCTATACAGCCATTGCTCTTTTTTTCCTGCTTTTGTGTAGCTCTACAAGCAGAAGTAATAATCTCTSTACACAGACCACCACACTTTTCCAGGCTAAGAGGTCATACAATAATGTATGAAGACATCCATGCACTTTTTGAAGATACATGCAGGTAGAAAGGCAGACACAATTCATGTGTCCATCTCATAGAACAAAATACACGGCAGTGCTGCACTGCTGGCACCTCAGGTTCTCAAAACTGTTGTTCACTCTCTGTAAAATTAGGATTTACAGACTGCATGCTGCAAAATCAACAGAAAAACTTCCACAGCACTGGCTCTCATGTTGCCATCTCTCAAAAGCTTGCCCAGGATCTCAAAGAAATAATGCATTACCATTCTGTTCATACACTTTTGAAGAATTTTGCATGGGAAAAAGAATATTAACCTTTTCAGGAAGCCTGTAAGTGTGGAATTTACCTCATAATGTCAGCAAGGGTATTTTTTGTCTTCTCAGGGATGTCTTGACTAATGTGAGGCCATTACTGTACATTGCCCCACAAAACTCCTTTCATGAAATTTTCCTATCTGATGTAGTGGTTACAAAACCGAGCATGCATTTCACAATCCATGAACCTGAAGCCACTGACATGAGGATTCACCAGCCTTCCATGATGACACCAGAATGTTTTAAAAAGGCTTTTATGCTACTGGAACAGCTCAGGACCTCTGTCTGTCCACCCAGATTGCATTCTGGACCTTCTGAGCAGCGATAATACATTCTCTAGAGGAGCTGGGGAGCTCCCACTGGAGGAAAAGCTTGTGCAGACCTCCTGCTCCCCAGCAGGGGAATTTTTTAATTTCTGTTCATCCCAAGTCCACAATATACTCCTCTTGAAGTCAAAACSTGCTTGCTTATTTACAGAAGTGATAATGCTGCCTTGAATAAATACAATCTCTCCTGCAGCAGCTCCTCAGTGTAACTGTGCTATTCCTCCTCTTCCCTTCCAGTTCCTCACCATCCTTGTTTGGATGCAGGTGAAGGARTGGATCTGCCTGGGATCCCTGCTGTTTTCTGGCAGTCACAGCTCAAATGCACATGACCTGCTGCATATTCCTGGCTTTCARTGTTAAATTCTGAAAGCAGTGATCATGAARAGCAGTGGTGCTGATCTGGAGAATAAAAAACCCAAATAAATGAAACCTTTTAAGATGAGGAGGAGGTGTTGGTAGGGCCTTAAACTATGACTGCTAGGCTGTGTGAGCTGGAAAATGCCACGTGTTCACCAGTGCCACTGCAGGAGGGAGTGTGAGACATCCCCACTGCAATGCTGATGGAAAATCAAAGKGGATCTGTGCTGCACATAAGCTAACACATCCCTCTGGTTAGYAGGGAGGAGAGAATTATGTTGTGGTGCACATTCTCCTCTAGTTAGCATCAAACAGTAAATCTCCACTYGCTTTCCCAGCCTTTAACACTTCTGCTCAGGACAAAGCACATGGAAACACTCAGGGAAAATGAAGGTTTARAGTTCTGTTTGGCTTGGGAGGAAAAGACACACTTTGGCTGAAGTGAAAGGGAGGAAATACAGAGTTATGAGGATGGGTGACATCACTTTGCAACGCCATCTTTCAACCAACAGAAATATGTTTCTTCACTTATTATCAACAGACCTAAATCCTCACCAAAGTTACCACTCACTTAGAAGTACTGTGAGTAACTATCAACATTTCTTCTCTCTGTCACTTTGGTATTTTATTGCTACTATTTTATGCCTTTAATTYGAAGCAGGAATGATGAGGTAAGAGCATCTCTGTGGTAAACTGAAATATCACTAGAATTCGTTTTATCCCATATGTCCAGACACTTCCAATGGAGCGTGGAGTCTGTTAGAAGAGAGGGACAGGGGTTTAGCACCATATGAGCTCCATGTAAACATCTACCATACAGGAAACAAATTTCATTGCTTCCAGGCCAAGGTTTTATTCTCCAGTACAAAGTAGTCTACAAATATATACATAAAACAAAATGGCATGTCCTATGTCTACAGAAATACAAACCTACACATCAAACGCCCAACTCCTCCACAGTGTCAGCACMCTTTGAAAACGTTTAATGAAGAGAGTTCYATTGTACTCCAGACAGATTTGCCTCAAGAATAAACAGAGTAGCTCCAGATTAAAGGAAATACTCCTTGCCAAAAACAGCACTAAAATTTTAATCAGTAAAATAAACATTCTTACTTCTTACTGTGTRTACCTCATTGACTATTGTGTTATCTTCCACCAGCAGACACCCAAACTCCACTCGTCCCACCACTCCCTGTCCTTCATGATGTCATCCTTTCTTTCCATCCTTACTTCCATCAAAAGAAACCTCTCATGTCAGTGGCAATTTCATGGCCTTGTATAAAAGGACACAAGTGTTTTCATGTTAAGAGCTCCAAATAAAAAATAAAAAAAAAAAGCTGGCATAGTTTGGATGTCTTACACTGTGAAAATTAAAAAAAAAAACTGGATAATGAAAGAGCAACTCCAAAGGTTAATTACAGTGAAGGTTTTCAGAAGACAAACACTCAATGTTCTTGGTCACAAGAGTCTACTTAAAACTGGGCACTTGTGAACTAAAATGCAGAAGTGATGGGAGACCTTTAGGGAAGAAGAACATTTTATTTAACAGGAAATGACCTAATGGGAAAAATGGACAAGTCAAACATCCAGCATCCAAAAGCTTGTCTGTTTTTTCACCTAGAATTACCTCCTGCTTCYACCAATATYACCTCCTTCTCACTAACTCTAGGGRATAGCATTACTGAAACTCTATGGACAGCCCCAGAGATTTCTGTGCCAAAATTGCCCAATGGTCACTCTAAACCCATCACATCTAAATCGCAGTTCTGCTGATCAATTAGAATCCATATGATTCAAATTAAAAAAAAAGGTTAGGTTTGTAGAAGCTTTCAAAAACTCTTCCATCTTCAAGAATACAAACCCATGATTTAAACAGACCACACAAGAGGATTGTGTTGCTTGTTTTAAAAATTATTCTTAGTTTTCTTTCAGATTATTTCTAAAGCTGCATTTCAAACTTGTATCTCCAAAACACCTATCTTAAAAACAAACAAAAAGACAGTTTCTGCTGTTTTTTTACCCACCCTAGGAAGCAAAAATAAATCAYTGCAACAATAGCCACATGTAGGAGAATGTTTTATTTCTGTCTCTCATTTCTGTATCTCTAAAAAGCATCTAACAACAAAGCTACAAATGTAGAAGATTAATAATGAAATATTAGCAAGGTTAGCGAGCTAATAAATTCTTTCAATAAAATCGCAACGAAGTGCTTTGCCAATACCTTATTGCACTCTATTGTGACGTACAAAATTAAGATTTTTATCTTTAAAGCGAGAAAATTTTCAAAGCAGGATCTGCAYTATCACACATTCATCAGGAGATGCTGAAAGGTTGCAGTTGAAACCACACAGCTCGTGTACGTTTAAAGTGATCAGACCACATACCCGGTTTTATTTTTGTCCAGTAAGCTGGGTGCCAAGGATCTGATGTAGGCACAGGTACATATGAGCAGCAGGATCACAGTCAGCAGACTCTGGAAGTTGAAGATGGCAGACTACGGAAGAAAATGGAAAATAAAAATKATTTTATTTTTATTTCTCATGTGCTGGAAATAGTGGTGACCCTTTAGACAACACCAAAARTGAAACCTACAATGGCCATGAGCCAGAAAACCTTTGTATCAATGGAATATGGTGGTGGCACTGAAGGTGGAAGTGAGGACTGACTAACAAGAAAACTGGTAATAGCCAAGACAGAAAATAACACAAAAAATGTAAGAGATTTGTCAATACACAACTGTTTAAAGGTTACATGCCAAGATCAACAGATTTGCAGAAATACACCCAGTTAAGTCCATTCTGAACTACAACCACTGATCTTTTTTATTTTCAAATCACATTGTGATTTTAAATTTATAACAACTTTATTGTAAACACTCTTTTAAAAAGGTTAATTCTCTCAGTGAATTTTCAGTGAATCCTGAACAAATGGAAGAATTGCCTTAGGATTGAGAAATTCTATTGTTTGATAACAAACACTAATTAGCCCAGTGGCAGTAAGAAGATAATTCTTGAGAAACTGCTACAATATTTGGTTATTTACTAAAGTTTTAAGTATTGCTAACAGGCAGCAACTGCATCCCATAAACTTCTTATTCAAACCTTTTTTTTTTAAGTGGTTTTGGGGTTTCTACTAAATGTCTCAACTGACATTTTGGGCAACTTAACAGCACCAGGAAGCATAAGAGGCAATTGGTTACTTCAGAAAATTTTATTTTAYCTACACTCTGCTACCCTCATTTGCAAATCTGATTTAGTGTGAACTCAAAAAAAATAATGTCACAGCAAATGCAATAAATTCACTCTTTGTTCTGGAATTCTGATGAACTTGAGTCTCCTGTGTTCATACTGCTCAACCCAGATGGTCGAGTAGTGGYATTTAATTAAAAGTAAATATTTAGCACTTAGGCAGGGATATTACATTGCAGTTTCCTTYTCCAAGTATATTTTAGGGCACATCAGAGCCTTCATTTCCACGCAGCCTGAGGCACATCTTTGTTGAAGCACACGTGCTTTCTTCCTGTGTCTCAAAACTCTGTTTTGAAGCTCCGATAATCAAATTTCTCTACACAGCTAGGGAGAATTATAAAAGAAAATCACAATATTCTAGTTCAGTATGGCACTAACAGGAAATTAGGAGAAAGAAAACAAACACTAGTAGAAGCAAAGCCATTGGAACATATGCAAGTGTTCTGATACTGAGATCAAGAACCTTGTAACCAMCCCCCAGAATCAAAAGCAAAACAAAAAGCATTTACTTATTTAGAAGTCTCCATGAATAATATGAAACAACTCCAGAACACGCATAGAGCTGCCAATCTCAATACATGTTTYAGGCAGGGTTAGCTATCCAAAGTAACTTCAATATCTAATTTCATGGGGTCCAACAGGCCACTCTGTGAGGAAACATCATTAGAGATGCTGACTCTGCACCCTGCATGGGAGATTTCAGCATCCTTGAAGGCCACTGYTCCTGTGATGAGGCAGCACTAATCCCATAACCAAAGCCAGCCCCTGTGTCCCAAACATGAACTTCCTTGCTTTTCTCCKGCACCACAGCCTTTCCTAAATCATGTTTAATTCAGTATTTTAGCTCAGATAGCCGCCCCTTCTGTCCCATCATGTCATAAATAATGGACAAGACTCTTCACAAAGGACAACACGCTGCCATCCCTGCAGCAGCCTCTGGAGCCTTTGTGCTCGGCACAAGTTTCTGCCAACTTCAGAAACCAGGGAAGTCTCAATTCCCCCTGGCTCCTGCGGGTCTAGGAACGCGGCGGGGCCGGATCCAGGAGCGGCTGTGCCTCTCAGCACAGCCAGATACTGCCTATCAACTGATTAATTCGATCAGTCCTGCGGGACAGACAGCTGCTCTGACAGCTCACAGCCCTGTGCCTGCCACAGACCCGTTCCCATGAATTCCTGCAGCTGCTTCCTGAGGCGGCACTGGACACTCCAACGCTGGAAAATGGCAGCAGGGCACACTTGCTCCCTCTTAAACAAGGACTGTAAAYGTATACTCATGAAATGTGCTGTCAGTCAATCAACTGGGGCAGTATATAATTGTATATAATTGTTCTTTGTTGGGGTTTTCACGTGCTTCCCCAGATATGCATCGCTGCAATCGCATCTGCCCTTCCACYGAAACGTGCTCTGAACGACACGTTTATCTGCACAGCCACTTTGAAAGGACAGATGTGAGCATTCCAAAATTTCAAACTGGAAATGAGAATTTATTCCTGAATTAGACGGCTTCACTCTTCACATCTGAAGTAATTCTCATGGCCCAGCTGAAATTCACAGAAAGCAGCAACTTACATCTGGCTGCTCCAACTCATGTAATTAAAAACTGCTGTAAGAATTATACATTGCTCAGAACCCTTTTAWAAAAGACTGCATGCACATACCWAACTACTTGGACAATGTAGATGTGTWGCTGTTCATTTGGTTARGCTGGGCTCCTCTGATCCAAAAGKGTAAATTACAATTTTTCAGTTGTGTTGACTGGCTCAAGGTAGGTCCTGTGAGCCTCTCTCCTGCTACAAAGAAGCACTGTCATTTTATTCTGGTTTTAGACAGTGCAAGCTTGAATTTCATGGGCTGAAATTTTCTACATCTGCATTTGGTGGATTTTTGACACAGTGGGAACACCCCAATGTCACTCCTGTGTTCTGCCTTCACCATATCACCCACAGCACTAACGAGGTATTGTATTCACCTGAACTTGCAGGAGCAAGTTTTTTTCCAACGTCTTTGGAAATTTAAGACTATGACCTTCAGCTTTCACAGCTACATGCCCAAAGGCTGTTTTAAATCCTTCCCAAAACCAGGCCTTAAAAAAAAAACCCTCACTATTATTTCCTGATCATAACACATCTCAGTAAAAACTCCATATAATAAACCATAAAGAATTAATACTCCTGAAAGTTTTATTGTTTTGGGATTAGCAGCAGTGGCATGTATTAAAATGAATACTCAAGGGAATATACAGTAGTTGGAAATCAAGTGGTAAAGGGTGTCTAAAGGTACTCCTATCTGATTATAAACTGAAGTTTAATGTACTTTAGTAGGTGTTGATTTAAAGTTGAAGGTTCCTATGTGGCTGTAAGAGGGAATCATTACAACAATACTTAGCTTTTGTGAGCCTCATTATAGACAATGTTCTCTCTCAACATTAAATTTACTACACTTGGAAAGAAGGAAAAAAAAAAAAAGCAGCAGCTCAGAGCTCTGGTTATCAACAGTCCTTGCACTTCATAACAGTATTTAATTCTAATTTCTAATGCAGAAAAGGCCATAATGGATGTACTAATGCTAAACACTTTTCTGCACCGACAATAACAGCCCTAGACAAGACACTGTAATTTATCCAGCTCTGCAGTTTTCATTCACTCCATTACCCTGACATTTTTGTTCCATGTCCTTGCAGACAGCACCTCAGTTACAAACCACTCGCTGATGCAACCCTTGGGTAGCRCTGTAATAAATCACACCCTAAGTTTTGATGCAACTCTCTGTGTCATAAAGGACCTGCTGATTTTCCCCTTGCCTCATATACTTTTGTTTAAAATAAACCACCTGGTATCCTGGTTCCAGGGGAAATAAAACATGCAGGAGGAGAACATAAACCCTGTGCTGTTGTCCTCTGGGGTAGGTAAAAAGCCTGAAACAAAAGCTCTCTGAGTTTATCTCACCAGATTTAGCACTGAAACCAAAGCCTAACCTTCCCTAGACTTAAAAGTATTTACAAAATGATTATTTTATCTCTGATTGCAGTGTGACCATGATGATTTCATCCATCTGKGCTATAAAAGGAGAGGCCATCATAGTGCCAGCAAGTTGCAAAACTTTGCCCTGTGGTTACTATCATAATAAACAATTTACGTGGGCAAACAYAGATAAATTACTGGTACATTTTAAAGTAAAACCTAATATGTAATACACTGTAGAATATACAGTCTTTCTACAATAGATTTTTCTTTTTCTCCCCAATATAATAAAATTAATAGATTATTATGTCACCTGGAGCCAAAGAAACAAATATGGATACTCAGTCACTCTGCTGCCTCTCTCATATTGAAATATGACCAAGAGCTTACACACTGCAGTTAAACTTTAGTTAAGCAAGAGCTGATAAAAATTTAATCACAGAAAAGTGAAATCAAGCAATGAAATTTTAATGAAGAAGTCCTTCCMAAGCTGAAAGAGAAAATGCTTATTATCTAGGGTTTCCATTAGGCCCAGAACTTCTGATTTCCTCAGTAGAAATCAAACTTTTAGGAGTAAAATATTGAAAAAATAATAGGATATAAATCATGTAGTACTATTCACAACCCACAAAATCAAAGCAATTGCTAAAAACTAATTAAAACATGCATCTAATTGTATTATTTTCCAACCCATTAAAAAATAATTATTTTTCCCACTGCTGCCAGATTCAATCTGATCAAAACGAATGGAAAACAAGCATTTGTAAAACAGGCATGCTAATTAGCACTATAAAATAAATTACGAAAAGTGCAAATTAATTGAATTTGAAGYGATTAATAGCAGAACTACACAACAAAACTAAGTAAGTGGTGTCAATAAGCATCCAAATACCAGTCAGCTGCAGYTACTGGTTGTTTCAGCATAAATAGGATTTTTACTTTGGGTTTACAGCATGTTCTCCTCAGTATTTAATTTCCAAAGAATTAAAGTACAATATTTAATGTTCATTTAGATTTCTGACTAAAATATGTATTTTTCCACTCATAAAATTTAGGCTAACCCTTGATTGGAGAAATAGGGGAACTCTTCCCCAGTCACTTAATGGAAAAGCACATTGTCTAGCTTAAACRTATGTTTTCTAGTCAAGAATAATATATCYATTCAAAACATAACCAATCTCCTGAAACAATTAAACAGTTAATTTAACATATGGACACAGCTGCCCTCTCCTATAAAGGCTCACTGRAAGTCAACACTTTTAGGTATTTTACTGCAATTCAAATTCACAGACCAGCAGTTAAGGTGGTCACCTCAAGGGTGATGATACTGAAATTTCACACTTGTTGCATTCCTTCTTCTTCACCCCAATATCTAGCTTGAAAACCAAACTTTTGTGGTAAACAGCTAGTAGATRCAGCATTTCACCAAAGTATCTTAAATTTAAAAATGAATTGAATATYAAAGTCTTTTACCAAGTCACTAACAAAAAGGTGTTCATGTTCACATATTTACTCAACAGAGAATTACAGTGGATATGTCATTAAAAGCTTGTAATACCTTTTCCTCCAGATCTTCTCTGTAGATAACAGTTTTTAATTTTACAAAGRTTTTTTTCCTCCACTGTCTTCCTTCATTAGATAAAAGGTTTATTTTAAATAACTCTTTTTTTTTTAAGTAACTCTACCTCGTAAAGTTGCACAACACAATGCTTAGCTCTTCACAAATTTACTACTGAAACTTAAAAACAAGTAAAATCTCTGTGTATGAATGGAAGAGGTAAGAGTCATACTAAAGCACACTYAGAATMAAGTTATATCCTTACTGTAATAAAAATGGCATGCAAAAATGAGGAGTTTGTAACAGAATGTGCTACAGGAATGTAAACATGGAAAGAAATTCTCAAAATGGAAGATGTATTTTAATTTACCTAATAATTACAAATCAGAACTGTAAATATTTTATGTATACTATTTACCTTTTTTTTTTGTTCATTCATAGTCAAACCATCTCTTTCAAACATGAAAAACAAATAATTGTATATCAGGAAAAAATATACTTWGTCAAGAAATAATGACAGGTTCTGCTAAATCTGTCATGTTCCATGACCTGGGCAGGTCCACTGCAGCACCTCTGCAGGTCTCTTGTTTGGCAGAGTTCAGGTACATGGTTTGAATATTTAGGATCTGGGAGACATGTAATATTTTTTTTCAAAAGATTCCAGCTTTTTCCACCATGTTTCCACAGGCACAAAGTTGAAAGTCAAAAACTTTAGTTGAGTTTGAACACCTAGCTCTGTGATTCAGAAAAAGGTACGCAACACTGTAGCTGTTACAGTGATGCCTAATGCTGCAGGCAACCAAAAAATTAAATTGTGATATTCACTTTTTTTACAGCACTCAGTAAAGAAATGGTTTCTCATACCAGTGTCACTCTGGGTAAATTTGTTAAAGTAGATTCATTACATCCTACTCTTCCCAAAACAGACCAAGAGATGCTTCTTACACTGGCACAATAAATAATTTCCTCAGTTCTATAATCACAGAAAAAAAAAATTGACAATGTATTTTTACATCTTCCTCTAAGATGATAGAAGTGCCTATACTAATCACTTGAACTAAAATAAATTCACAATACAAAGATACTTTAACACTGTGTGATGACATAGGAGACGTTTTTAAACCTATGTACCTTTAGGTGATGATAAAAACAAAGCTGCTAGSAAATCCGAATCAGGATTGATTCCTTCTTGTAATTTTGAACACGACAAATGCAAAATTTGGTACTTGAAGACTCCTGAAAGCTCTTTTTTTCAGAGCAGTGAAAAAAGCAGGGTTGTGGTATGTTTATATCCCACAGCTTGGTTAGAAATAATATTTACTAATGAATGTTTTTACAATTGGCTCTATGAGCAATTCCCCTTCCTTCTGTAAACACCACTCCAAGAGAGCAACAAAGACTGTGACAGAAATGTTTGTCCTTGTGGAAAGTTCCCAAATCAATTTTTGGGTAGTAACGTGGGGCCAGGATCAGACCCAGCCACAGGGTGAGAGGGGGAARAAGCCATTCCTGTGGTGTTTCCCACAGCTCTTTTAAATTTTCTCCATCACCAACTTTCGACTTTAAGTTCATATTTTTGCTATAAAAGAAAGGGAAGACCACCCTTCAGCAGGTGAGAGGCTCACCATTAACACTGATGCTACCATTTGCTTCTTCCCTCTTTCTATCCATGCATGTAGCAAATTTTCCAAGCCCACTAGGAAAACTTCTGTCGGGCTTTCAGATGTAAAATCCTGAAAGCTGGCAGGACAGACTTATTTGTGGAAGTCAGCAAATATACAATCTCCTAAATAAATGAGGGAGCTGTGCATCACTGGTGCATCCCTTCCATTTCCAGTTAAGTTTTGAATCCATTGAAAGGCTTCTATTGGCTTCCACAGCTGCTTTAAATTAAAGTATTGTGAAGGTATTTTTTATCTACTGGCAGTGAACAGGAAAAAAACCACAATTTCTGCCTTCACATGAAGCAAAAGGCAAGTAAAASTCAGCTTACATATATATGTATATATATAAAATTTCCTGTTTGGTAGCAGCTGGCCATGCATCCAGCACAAGTTCTGATTTGCTTAGCAAGGACGTGGCAAGGAAGCCCAGGAAACCATGGGATGAAAAGTTTCCAAGGGATAAAGTCCTTTGGAAAATATGCTTCAGAAAATTGTGCTATTCAGAAAACTGCTGGTTTGCCAGAGTTGCAGCTTGTGCTCTCTGGAGTCAGRGAATAAATTGGAGGTGAAGCTCTAATCTCTTCCATTTAATAACACACAGACAGCAGCTGTTTCCTGTCTCACAGTTAAGCATGAGCTCAAAATTACTSKTTTTTTCCCCTAAAAAGCTGTAACACCAAAGGTGGCATCATGGAGGACYTAAAGTCCTGGATATGTCACAAAGGTTGTTGCTCCTTTGAGGAAATTCAAACAGTTTTGTTTCTAAGTTATATTTACATTTTTCTTATAATATATAACTTACAAAATACAAATAATACTACAATATCAAATACTTAGTTGTATTTAATTGCAATACTAAGCATCATCAATGTCTCACCAAGTTCTTTTTCCTTTTTTAACACCTCAAACTGTTTTAGGCACAATAAAGAATGGCGAGGTGCTGCTGTAATTCTCTATATTCACCTTTCCATGATTAGAGGTCTCTTGCTTCCTGCACGTGTGTTGGAGATCTCCTGAGATAATTTATGCCTCTCACCACAAAAAAAAACCTAAAAAAAACAACAAACCCCTTTTGTTCACTGCTTGGAGCCACAGATTTTACAGCAGGTTCATCTAAGAGATCTGCCAAGAAATGCTCAGGTGAGCAACTCCCAGCAATTTCCTGCTGGTGACAAGACCTGGAGCCTGGGAACACCTTTTTGAACTGYAAGAAAGTTCAAGAGATATTGATCTTTTCTGTAAATACACAGGAAATATACAGCAATATTCATGAAAGTTGCACAGTGTATCCATGCAGTGATGGATAACTTCTCGAGATACGTGGCAGGGGTGAAACAGGTGATCCTTAAAAGGTCTATTTCAACCCAAACCACACTGTGATCATCAAACATTGAAAATTCCCACTGTAAAATTAGCTCTGTGCTGAAGTTATGGACAAACTTTAATTTTGTTCAGGGAAAGCTTATGTTAGCTCAGTTATTCCTTTGGTTTTCCTTTTAATTTKAAATTAATGTATCTGCTCTGCTCATATAAATGTGGTACATATGTAAACATTTAACATATAAATCTTGACTAAGAAAAAGCATTTCACTGCTCAGCTTTAACTACAACACAAATTCAAGCTTTTCTATTACCTGTAGAGAGATTGGAAAAAGGGGCAAAAAATATAAAAGTAGAAAATAATTTGCTTTTAGACCAACTCTCTATATAAACAATGTACATATATACACACATATTTCATATATAGAGATAATATGTAATGAGGAATTTAAAAAAAATATTCAATTCTACATTTGCATACACCTAAAGGTATCTAGATAAATGTCACTATATCGTATATTTTTATTACATATTAAATATGTATCTAAATAAATGTTGTTATATACATTTGTTATGCATACAATAAAATCATATACGCATATATGTTGCATCTCATATGTACTTACCTATTTTTACATATTTATGTTTTTACATAACTTTGTGTATGTTTATAAACACGTCATTATCTGTTAAGCTGTATTAAACATATTCCCATACAGTTAACAATGATACTGAATATATAAGTATGTAAGATGTAACCAAAATAGTTCTAAATGCATATAGAAATGCCATTGAATATTGAAGTATGTAAGATATACCTAAAATAAGTTTTAAATGCATACAGAAAAACAATCTACATAAAATGCAGTTTAATATACAATTTCTACACAGTTCTCATGAGTAAATGGCCCTGGGCCTCTGATGACACCTTTGAAAATCGAGAAAAACAGGCACTGTCAGGGCTGAGCGCACTGCCCAAAGAGCATGACGTCATAGCAATGACGTCACACAACAACGTCATGACGACACAGCAATGACGTCAGAACGCCGTGAGCGACACGAATACCCCCCTGACCGACCTCGGCCGGGCTGCTGCCCCTCGGGGCGCTGGGGACAGCCCCGCAAAAACACAAAATAGTCTTTTTTTGTCACCACACCCGTGACCCAAACCCGCTCCGCGCCACTTCCCACCAAAGCCTCATGGCGGCTCCGCTCCCGCGGGGCTGCGGCCTGTGGCCTGAACGGCTTGTGGGGGCACCGCCTTGGTCAGCAGCCACCACTGTGGACCCTGCAGGGCCGGCGGGGAGGGAGGAGAGCGGGAAGGGCCCGGTGCAGAGCGGGCARGGCCCCGCACAGGCCCCGCGCTTACCATCGCGCCGCGCTCCCCGCCACATCACCTTCCGGCCGCCGCGCCGGGCGGAAGCGCGCACCGACAGCCCTCAGCGCGGGCGGGCGGGGCGCGGGCTGCTATTGGCTGGCGGAGGGGAGAGAGGCTGTGATTGGTTAATTCGGACGGAGGGGGGCGGGCCGGACGGGCGGACGCGGCGCTGATTGGCTGGMGGGGCGCAGGCGGAAGTGGCGGTGAGGGAGGTAGGTGCGGGCGGGCTCGCGGGCGGGTCTGAGGGGAGCGGTGGCGGGAGGRMCGAGATAACGGGGATARCCGGSAWTAACCGSGAATAACCGTGATAACCGGGATAACCGKGRMWAMYMGGGATAACCGGGACAGCCCCCACAACCGCCACAACCGGGATAAGCCCTTCTCTGCCCTGGTCCCGGGCGGTGGGGCCCGGCCTTGCGCCCCCGCGCACGTCGCGGCCACGAGTCTGTAGTGAAACGCTAAAGAAAATGGTTCTTTTGGTGTGTTTTCGTTTTCATTTATTTTTTTTTTAGTTGTTGGTCGGCTCCCAGCAGGTCGCTGAGGGGTGTGGGGGTGATACYTCGCCCGGGCGTGAGGCACTATTTACTGAAGCCTTAATAACATAAAGAACAACTTAATGAGGCTGTTTGTTACTTAGGTCCCTCTTACTGTTAATTACTTCTGTTATATAGGGAGAATCCAGATTATTTTACCCTGGTCTGTTGCGTTTTGGCTCCTGTGCTGTGTTTTCTCCTTGAAGAGGTTTTCATCATATTTTCTGTAGCTGCACCTTGCCAAGAATTTCCAACTTCAT